TCAATTATATTCTTATTGACAATATTTATTTTTGTTATTTTCATATTTGTCTTGGTTTTGAAAAATATATCATCTAGTACCTAAATAGTTAATGTATATTAAAATTATGTTTGTCAACTTTCTAAAAAAAAAGTAGAAACGTTTTCTTAAACAGGTCTTTACATATTGTGGTTAACATTTTTAACTGAACGATTTTAATTGTATTTAAAATAGACATTTTAGGAGCTGGACCACTCATTACAAACATGAAAAACGATTAGATATTTTAAAATAATTTATAATATATATATTATTTATAATAATTTATTATGATTAATCATATCCATTTTTTAGAGAAGGTAAAGTGGAAACTTTTAGTAAAGATTCTAAATCCAAATCGTCTATAAAAAAGTACATATTAACAAATACAATCAAACACATAAAGCTTTGAAACAAACTAAATTATAAAAACTGTAAATAAAATGTATTTTTGCATTTTTTTATCTTATAGATTAAAAATACAAACACGCAACACTTGCTTCAAATTATGTCTCAAAACTTTAATACTATAGAACTTAAAATTTCAATATTTGTGGTTTAAAAGTATTTTAAGTTTAAGACATAATATTTCATTGTGTTACAAATTGTAATTAAAGATATTAAATAATAAATAACAATACAATTTTAAAATTTTTTTTTTTTATTTTTATTTGGCATAAACAATCTATACTATTTAAAGCACAATAAGTTTATATGATAAGAGTAATAGAACATGATTGTTTTGAATAGACAATTATAAAATAACTCAGATATTTTTATTTGCAGAGTATCAATTTCATAGTAGGTGTATCAATTATGCAATAAATAAAATAAATGTCTAATTGTTTTAAAAATATAGACATACAGTATTATAGTTAAAAATGATTATATATCTATAAGGAATATAGTAAAATGCTTAAAGTTTCTAAGTTTAAGATTTTTGGAAAAAAAAGGCATTTAAGAAAAAAACATTATTTTATACTTGAATATCTAATTGTATCGATATATGAACAATAAGCTATTATAAAAAAAAGTATTCTGCTAATGTGTATATTTGTTTTTGATATTTTTGGTATTATGTGAGAACTATCTACCTACCAAAAGTGTTCTATTAATTTTTCAAACTTTTTCATAAAGGAACATAATTTTACTCAACATACTCTAAAATCGAATAACAAATTTCAAATATCTATAAATGCCCCAAAAATATTAAAAAGCCAAACTATTGGTCGAATTTCCCTTATTTGAATTAATTGCAGTTGGAACAGATACCCAAAGAAAGTGATTGAATTGCACAGCATGACATCATTACAATATTACATTATAAAAAAACATATTTCTGTCGACGTACGGGAGAATAATTTTACATTTTAATATCTAAATAATTTACTATTTTTTAATAATAGTATATATATTATACATTTATACTTGGCTACAATTTAAAAATTAAAGTAAAAAAAAATTCAAACAATAATATAAAAATGAGTTCATTTTTCAAAATTAATAAATAACTGAAATTTAAATACTACAAATTTAACATTTAAGATTTCAAAATATTAATATAAACATATGTATTTAAATTATATATTTTACTCGTGTACTAAGATCATTGTCATACTGGTTCGATCGACACAAAATTGCAATCCCCAGATAAAACGTATTTGTACGTTTTGTGGAATGACCGCATCGATTGCAACTGAAAAACTATGTTTTTTGGTAAGGAGTGCAGTTCAAAAATCCTCATAATAATTAATATTTTTTGCGATGAATTTGAATTTAAATTTTGAAAATCAATTGTTCAAGGATTTTCTTTAGCTCTAATTTAAGCTAGGTTAAAATTCCGGGCATTGGCCTAGTGCTTTTACCATTCGATTATATTGCTTGAGCCTTGAATAGTTGAATCTTGTATGGGATTTTGTATAACTTGGCAAAAACTCAAAGGCATGTAGTCTATAGGTACTTCAAAATCAGTCATCAGAGTTACCTGTAGTTTCTTTAACTCGTACGCTTCCGCATTTCCTTGAACGTGGACCTGTCCTGAAATCGATAATAGAAATATTATGTTTTAAGTTAATTTGTTGATTATATTCCTGATGATTGATTGTGATGTAATATTTATATTTATATAAGTTATGATGCTAATTAGAGTACCTACTTGGAGAATTTGGCAGTAATAGATATTTCTTATCATTAGTATGATAAACACTTTGTATGGCTTTTAGACTTTAGTAGCAATGAAGCTTCTACGTGTTTCTACAGCAAAATACTTAAAATGCTATTAATTTTGTAGTAGATTTTCTTGTTGTTAGATAAGAATATCCAATTTAAATCACTATAGTAGTCCTAAATTTTTGAATTTAGATTGGGCTTATCTAATATTGGGACATATTATGATTAATTTTTATTTTAAACATAAATATGATAATAAGACCATTTAGAACATTTTAAATAATATATTTATTTAATAGGTGTATAATGTGTATAGAATATTATGTTTATGATTACATTTAGAGATGCTCTATACGACTATACTTATAGGTAGGTAGGTACCTACATGAATATTATTAAATTCATAAGTAAGTACCTACATATGTACACATTATATGGTTAGTCTGAAGTCTTCTTTTACTACTTATAGTACTATATTTTAGATCCTGAGCGAAGCGATGAATGTAATGATTTTACAACTACATAAGTTTTTCAGATTTTTGTCTGTTCGCGTTTTTTTATAGGAGAAATAATATTTCATCAATTTAGTTATTTTATTGTAATTTATTAATATATGTATTTATTCGTGGGTACTTGAAACTCTTAAAGTATATAGGTAAGTGAGGTTTTTGTTATATTTAATATACACAATGACATTTTTGAATACAATGTAATCGGCAAAAAATAATACAACCTTCTGTATAACTCATAGTAAAATATATTACTTTAATGGCAATAATGTCATAAAAATATAAAATGTGTATTTCTCCATTCATCTCTATTGCCAGCTAGTCTCTGCAGTTCCTTATAGTTTGTTAGACCTGCATCGGAAATCATCCTTTTGAATTTTGATGTAGGATGTTCTTGGTCGTCCTCGATCTCTTTTGCCTTTTATTTTCACTTCTGCTATATTATACAGAAGCTCTTTTTCGTGTCTTAAAACATGAGCACATGACCAATCATATTATATTCTATCCTCTTTCTTTTATGGTGCTAAGTGTCTACCTGGTTTCGTTTAAAACATTTTCGTTAGTTCTTCATTCCGTCTTGCTAACTCGCAACATTCTTCTCTAGAACCACATCTCGAAACTTTCGAGGAACTTTTGTTCTGCTTTTTTCAATACCCATGTTTCGCATCCGTATAGTACGGCAATCCACACATATACTTTTATAAGCCGTTTCTTCATACTTATGATCATGTTTTTAGAGCACAGTATTTTTATTTTGTTTATGAATGCTGTTTTTGCTTGAACGATCCTTGATTTTACTTCCATAGTACATTTACCATCTTGGCTAATTATAATACTACCTAGATATCTAAAAGCTTTGCACTTCGTCGAGAGTGGTTATCAATTTTAATTCTTAATTTTAATATTTTCGTTTATGATATTATTTATAAGTATAAATGGATAATTGAATTAAAATTGCACACACCCATTACAGTGATTTCCTACTCGACACCTACTGTACAGTAGAGCGGTACTCACTTACACAGTTTTTTTATACCTGGGAATATGAACAAAACTAATTTATTTACAAATACTTATATTATATTATGTACACAACAAATTAGAAAATGTAGTGTATATTGTTTTACTTAGATATGTTGAAATTGAAAAAAACCGATAATTGATTATGGGCTAAGAAGTACGTCACATTATTATATCTAAATACTTACATAGTTAAATATATATAGTAGTAAATAATCTATAATAATACAACCTACTTCTTAGTCTATAGCCAATATAATTAAAATCGGTTATTTTCAACATATCTATCTGAGTATAACCATATCTACTACATTTTAGGTACCTATCTATAACAATTAATAAATATACACAATATAATATTATATAATATATATTATTTTTAAGCTGACAGAACATTTAATGTGGAATTCACTTTTATTAGTAATTATCAACTATATTAGCTATTGAAACAAAAATAATTCCTATCATAAACAGCAAGGGTTGCACTTCTTTCTAGAAACCAATTCATTTGTCAGTTCTTCGTAATTGAAAATAATCAAAATACATACATTATTGTAAAATCAATACATTCATCGCTATGCCCAGAATCTAAAATATGGTTAATATTAATTAAAGTATTTTAAAATTCTGTACTAAAATGTAGGTAGGTACTATTCAGTATATAATAAAAGAATCCTTAATATAAATGTACATAAAAACCAAGAGCTGACTGGCCCACTGTGCTGCAATGCAAAGGCACAGTGACCCGATGCCTTCTTATGTCTCCACTCCCCGGGGCTTTGCAAAAAAATAATCCACATGAAATGGGCGTGAGCACGAGTGCAGCGAATGCAGATTTCAATGTACAGGAAATTTATTTTGGATTTAGTGATCTGGTAGATATTTATTTGAAAGTTCAAAGGAATACACAAAATAAATAATTGATTTTTAAATATTTTATGTAATTCAAATAAAAAAATGAAAATGCTATTTTATCGATACACGAAGTCTAAAAATAGAAGCGTTTTACAATGACGGAGAAATGAAACCCCTTAATAAGTTATCCTAACAAAGTAACTCAATGGAACCATGGCCGAATAAACATTGTTGAAAAATCGTATATGACAGCGCTATCTATCTAGGAAACTGAAGAGCCGCGACGGCCAGTTTCTCACGTACGTATTAGGGGTTAATATAATACGGCGGCAGTAGATAGCGCTGCTGTTATCGAATAAGTTTAGATCTAAATAATAATACCGGCCAACGCCGTTACCAGCGTTAGGTTAGATTAAACCACACTAAACCCAACAAAACCTCACTAAACCCATCTAAACCTCACGAAACCTATCTAAACCTCACGAAACCCATCTAAACCTCACTAAACATCACATCTTTCAGGAAACTGAAGAGCCGCGACGGCCAGTTTCTCACGTACTCAGTTGTGTACGGTCGTCGTTTGCGCGCGGACGTCTGCTCCTGAGTCCTGACCAGCGTCTACTTCAGCAGGTCCTCCAACACGAGAACGGTACATTCTTAGTACGTCCAGTGATTAGTAAGTCCAGTTAGTACGTCCGGCGATTACAGCGACCCCTTGCGCTCGGCACCGCTGTCCCGGCTGTACGTGTAGCAGGCGGAAAATCGTAAGTACGTTTTTTCGGTTTTTCGAAAATATCTCGCCAGGGCTTGCTCGGAGCGTCTCGGGAGCGAAAATTTGCCCCCCCGGATCCCCTGACCTCCCTGGGCGACCACCGATAGGCCCCCGAAAACCCGGTCACTCTAGCCCTAACCAGGGCCGAGTTATAGGGCCCCGAAATCGGCACTTCTGGCAAAACCGAATTCCAGAACCCAGACAGCGGGATCGCCGGCGGCGATCCTACCAGGGCCCTCAAGGGGCTCCAACAACCCCCCCCCCCAATCCAGCGTCCAACGCCCGGAACCAGCCCGACCTCCGGGGCAATCCCCCACACAACGTCTGACATGGAGCTGTACGATGACACGGACGACGTCCAGGACGTCACCATGCTGTCTCCAACCAGCCGCTACCTAATAACCGGAAAGCTTGATCTCCCGCTCGGTATTATCTTATTTTCATAATTTTATTGGAAAATAATATTATTTTTGTATGTACGGACTGCGAATAACCAATTTTGCCAATTATTGGTCATTAGCGCACAGTTATACACAATTACAATATTGCATGTATAGCCTCCTACGCTGTTTCACACTATTACAATATTTATTACTTGGGTTCGTATCATTCGTATCGTGTTCGCTGTTGTCTGCTTGACGTTCCTACAGATTGTTAATAATTGTATTGCATCAACCGTATACTCTTGTTTTCGTTATTTCAATTGTTTTAAATTGTAATACAATGAGTGATTGTGATTCTTCAACTGAAGTCGATCAGGTTGCACAGAAGAACCAATTTTACCCTGGTAAAATTATCAAAAATATTTGAAAGTATTAAGAGTCATTGAGGATGATTTTTTTTATAAGAAACTGGAAGTGAAGTGCTTAAGTTGTGTCGGTACAAAGTGTTGCTAGGTGGATTCACGTTCAAACTCTAATACAAGAAAACATTTAAGTGTAAGTACAATGTTAATTTCATACATGCCTATGACAGTTGACCCATCTAATATCTTGTGTGTTAAATTAATTTTAAATACCACACCTAATATAGGTATTACAAAAATACATAAAAAACAGTGGCGCACAGTATTTTAAAAGTCAGTGCATAAGATGTATTGTAGATCTCATTATTCTATATTATGTATTTTCCCAGTCTTAGTATTCTTGTGTATATGAAATAAAATAAAATAAATAACCCCCTCCCCCCTCAAAAATAAATCCCAGTTGCGCCACTGATCAAAAAATGAAAATTATTCATCAAAACTTATAATGTTAAGTAAAAGATTATATTATTTCATTTTATTCAGACACAGCTTCCAACTACATTAAAGAAAATTGATCACATTGATAATGCTGCTAACATAAACACTTCGAAGAGACGCAATGATGGATCATTGAAGCATAATGCTGGTAGTTCTCTAAAACAATCAGATAAAAATAACTAGACAAAACAACCAGTTTTAGAAGATTTTTCGAACAACAAAAAATTAACTAGTCAAAGTAAGAATGTGTATTGTTTATTTTTATTTTTTGTTTTATTAAATAGTTTTTAGTTGGAGCATTAACAAAAGTAGTTGATATTTACATGACTACATGTCTATATACTGATACATTGCTATAGTGAACGATACGGTTGTTGATGATTTAGAAGGAATCGACGAAATCAACTTGAACATTCTAAATGATGAAGACCATCATTTGCCATATGCATTACCAAAATACCATCGATGTTGTGCACACACAATAAATTTAATAGCAACAATGATAGTTAAACATTTATTAAAGTAGATAATCTAATATTGTTAAATTATAAAATACTGAAAATATTTTGATCAAAAACAATACATTTTGAGTAAGTATAGTGATCCAGGACAAAACTATTAGATAGTAGTTAAACCTACTTAATAATCATAATTAAATTTGTATGAGTTGTAATACATATTTTAAAAGTTAAATTTTTCTTTCGATTTAAATGATAAAAATATATAAAAAAAACGATATTCTAAGATATAAGTATGAATATGATTGGCATTAATTATTTTTTAGTATCTATACCCAAATGTCAATTATAAATATCAATAAATTATGTTTGGTTAATTTTTTATTATTAAGGGAATTCGATACCGATCTATTTTAAGGAGTTGAATATAGGCAATTTATATAGTACGTGCGTGCAAGACATGGTTACGTGTGTGTAGGAACTGATTATTACTGTGAGTGACTCCCGCACCATCATTATTACTATTATGACTCACGCACGCTGATACACTACACATTACACAATATGTCAACGTGTACAGCGTCGCGCGCGCAAGCAAATTAAATAGACCGTTTTTTCGACTAAAACATCCAATATTTTGTCCATCATTCCGATGGACCTAATGATACGATAAGACTTATAAAAACTGATTTGAATTCGATATTATGTCTTCTTGAGATCGGCCTAGCCACTTTTTTGAATTTACAATTTTAATTCAGAGTAATCAAAACTTACATTTTTTTAAGTTTCACAATTTATAAATCCATATTATAAAGATTAGGGGCCGAAATTTGAAAAAGTGAAGTGGCCGATCTTAAGAAGACATAATAACGAATTCAAATCAGTTTTTAAAAGTCTTATCGCATTATTAGGTCCATCGGACTGATGGACAAAAGATTGGAGGTTTTAGTCGAAAAAATGGTCGGTATCGAATCCCCTTAATCTTGAAATATTCACAGATTACAGACATACTAGATTAAAGTATAATACTGCCCAAAACAATACAGGTATACTGGTATACAGAAATATAACTACTTCAATAGTTCAATAATAATATTATGTAATGGCACGAAAATAAAATATTTCAAAGACTAATTAATATATTTTTGCTTATATCGACTTTGGTATTTCTAACATAGCCCTTTCTCTCTCGCACATATCTTTCATTCTCGTATCTCTCTATGCGCTGTCCATTCTTTTATAGGACGTCTGAGTAAAATATTACTCGTTCGGCAACCAGTATATTTTAATTCGTGATATAAAGCACAAAAGACCGAAACCTCATAGTTGTTCGAAAAATGAAAGACATTTTTAACCACCGACTAAGCACTAAGATATATCTTAGTCCGTGTTTTTAACGCTAACCTTCTACATGTACACCAACGTTACCGAATAAAATATCTCTAATTTTAATATCTTTTTAATAAAGTAAATTGAAATATGCTTAATTTTTCATCATCAACCATGATGCACTTCACACAAAAACTTACTACAAAGTACAAGCCCTTCGGCCTTCATTGAAGACAATAAACATAAGCTATGTTCTCAAGGAACATAAAATCAAGGACAATTTTGGATATATGTACTTTAAAAGTAAAACAACTGAAAGAAAAATAAAAATAAAGTTGGAATACTTAGGTAATACAATTGTGTGAAGAAATTTAAGTTTTATTTAATTGTATTGTTCACAGTTATATGAGATGCAAGGAATATAAGAGTGGATATCCAGCAACAGGATCGATATCGCTAAATTTGAATGACAATGCTTTTTTCATCAAGAAGTGACATGATCATAGCGTAAGGAGAGATGACACACCCATGAGGGAATTACGGAACACTCTTGCAGAATAGTGTGTAGCTCATAGTCCTACACCTTATTCAGCTAAAGCATTATACATGCAAGCAATTAAAAAGTAATGTTTAATATAATAATTATTTTGATGAATTTCAACAGTAATTACTATTATAGCCACAGAGAGAATGCGCCAAATAAGAAAATTCATATTCCCCTCCAACTCCAAGGAATATTTTACACCTCCATCAACTTTTACAAATTAATGAAAACAGACACTTTGCCTTCACATTCCAGGCACAACCAAATCAGTTAAAGCCAATATTATTCGGTAAAAAATTAAAATATTAATGATTATTTCCATTTACAGATTCTATCAGGGGTATGTAAATGGAATCAGGGATGGTAAATGGAATGTTAGTTGGATTTGTCTTTTGTAACACAAGTTTTATTCAAGACACAGCTGTTGAGTTACAAAACGTAAGTCAAAATTATTATTTTTCGTATTTTTAAGTATTATTAGTATTATTAAGATCTTGCTATTAAGTATTGTTGACAAGCACCTCTCATCGCTCGGTCATAAATGCCTTATTTATGCTGATGATCTGGTAATTTTCTCTTCCAATAAATCCCTCAATATTTCCATTGACAACATCAATTCTGCCCTTAAAGATCTTAAGTTTATCCTAACCAAATTGTCTTTTGAAGTTGCTCCTGAAAAATGTAAATCTGTTATTTTCACTCGACGCAGATACATTAACCACCTTAACATATATTTTGACAACAATATCATACCTTTTGTACCAACTATCACTTATCTAGGTATCATCCTTGATCCCAAACTTCGTTGGTCACCTCACATTACGTCACTCACAACTTTCACTTCTCGTTGGTCTAATTTTCTTAGATCAATAACTGGTACGTGGAGGGGCTCTCATCCCTCATGCTTACTATCCATTTATTTCTCAATTATACGCTCTAAATTGGACTATGGCTGTTTCCTTTTTGGGTCAGCCTCTTTTTGTAATTGGAAAAAACTTAACAAACTTCAAATCTCTTGCCTCAGAACCATTATGGGTTATGTAAAGTCCACTCCATGTCCTGCCATTGAAGTCGAATCTATTTGCCCACCCTTCAATATTAGATGTCGTTGGCTCGCTGGTAAATTTATTTTGAAATCATTATCTCATAGTAAACACTTAATTTTTGATATTTTCTATTCTTTATATCTCAATTGGCGCTATGTCCCCAAATCCACTCCTGTCTTATCTATTATCGCTAATTCCGTTTCGTGTTTCCACCATTTCATCTTCAGCTCTGCTAAACTTCCTCTTTATGAGCTCCCATATGATTCATTACTATGTTCACCTCATGTTCAATTGGGTCATCAATTTTCTGACCTTTCCTCCAATGATTTCAAATCGATGTCTTACTCCTCGGTAAATGCAGCTTTTTCAAACTATCTTAATATACAGTTTTCCGATTTTATTATTATTTACACGGATGGATCGGTATCACCTCTTTCGGCTGGTTATGCTTTCCACATTCCAAAATTACATTTATCTTTCACAAACGACCTCCCTCCATCGTCTTCTTCCTTCTCAGCTGAGTGCTATGCTATCATCGAAGCCTTAACATTAATTCTTAACTTCTCCCGAAATAAATATTTAATAGCCACCGATTCTATGTCCTGCCTACAAGCCTTAGTTTCCAACCCTTTCAACTCTCACATCTCCCCTCTTGTTCTTCGTATCAAATCTCTTGTTTTCGACCTCAATCAATCTAACTACACTATCCACTTCCTTTGGGTTCCCAGTCACACTGGTATTCGAGGTAACGAGATTGCTGATAATTTAGCTAAATCCTCCTCCCGTCTTATTTGTCCCTCCCCTACTCATCTACCACATTCTGACTTTATTCCATTTTTAAAACAATACCAATATAACCTATGGTCTTCCCATTGGAATAACTTACCTGCAGAGTTCGCTTCCAGATACAGACATACAACGCCTAATATTAAAAAAAAAACCTGGTTTAATAACTTAAATTTACAAAGATCTCATATAGTCCAGTATAATCGTTTACGGATAGGACATTCATTATTACCTAGTCACTCATTTAAACTTGGACTAAATGACTCGCCACTTTGTACACTTTGCACTTTTCCCCCTAATGAATATATATGTGACCTTCCTCATATTTTATTTAACTGCCCTGCCCTCCGACTTAAAAGACTAATTCTTTTCAACACTCTTATGTCTCTTAATATTCCCATCAACCTTTATTCCATCCTAAACTCCAATACAGAAACAGCTATCAAAACAATAATTGCCTTTATACAGGAGGCTGGCTTTATTATA